ATCAAGTTTCGAGAAAAGTTTTGCTCCATTCAGGGCAAAACTAACATCATTTACTGTTGGTATAGGATGGCGTACTCGTCTTATAGCTTCATTTGCGAGCCGCATATCAACACATATGCGAACCTGTCCGTCTTTTTTGGGAACAGCTACAATTGGTGAAACCCACGGAGTAGCTTCATTTTCGGGCACTTTTTCAATCACATCTTGATTTTCTAATTCAGTTACCGCGTTTTTCACTTTTTCTCGAATGTGATAAGGTATGCGCCTTTGGGGTTGTGCTTTCGGAATTTTAGTTTTGTCTATATCTAGTTTAATTTTTTCTCCCTTCAATTTTCCAAGATCGGAAAAAACTTTAGAATGCTTTTGAAGGATGTTTTCTAGTGCGGCATTCTTTGATGTCAGTTTGTCTAGATGCAAACTAATAAGTCCGAGTTCTTGTGCAGTAGAAAGAGAAAGTAAGTTTCCACAGTTCGCAGCTTTAGCGACATAGAATGTGGCTACAGATATTCGTTTTCGTGTTTCGATATTACCGCTTCGAATTTTCCCAAAAATTCAACTGGTGATTTCGTATTATACGCGAAAGCTTTCTTGTTCGTGCGAGTTAATTTTATGTCTTGCATTTTGTTAAAAGTGTCACGATCGATCACATTTATTGTCGCGCCACTGTCAATTGTTGTTTGAAATTTGGCACCGCCTACTTTAACATTGACCTGTATATAAATAGTCTTCATCGGAACTCGTGTTTGATCCTGTATCTAATGTTTTTAGATTTCTTTGTGCATGCTTTTTGTTTGAGTATCTCGGTGATCGCGTTTGTTTTTGTTTTCCTCGACAAACAGCAGCGAAATGATTCGGTTTTCCACAATTATTACAGGTTTTTCCTTTCGCTGGACATGCCCCTGTGTGTGGATAAGCACGCCCACAATTTCTGCAAATAACATTACTACGGTTCGAAATATTACCGTTATTAGGTTTTTGTTCTAATTTATTAGCCTCACCGTCAGCTTGTTCTTTAGATTCAATTTGTTCAGCTTGATACTTGCTCTGCTCGTCACGACGTTCTTCTAAAAGCATTGATTTTAAGTCAAATGTAGGATCACGCAGTGCTCGCTTTCGTATTTTTGATGAATTTCCGCCTATAATGATTTGTTCTTCGATTTCAAATTCAACGTCTGCGAATTCACATGTTTCTGATATTGTTCTAAGTCTGGTGTGAAATTGATCTAACGTCTCATTGTGTTCTTGAGTTGTTTGTCGAAAACGATAAACTTCGTACCGCCGATTCTTTTGAGGGTCGAAGTAAGCCTTTAACTTCTGTTTCGTGATGTCGTAGTCCGTATCAGTTCCTGTCTCGGGGATTTGTTTAAAAATCTCGCGAACTCTCGGTCCGGCTTGATATAGCAAAAGTGCACGTTTTCGCTTTGGATTCGTTATTCCACTTGCGGTTATATACATTTCGAAGTCTGACTGCCAATTGTTCCATCTTGTCGAAAGGCTTGTTCCGATTTTTGCATCTGGGCAAAATTCTGGCATTGGAGTTATTGTTACAGATTGCATGATCTGTACAGCCGGTTGCTGCAGTGGTTGAGGCTCTGCCTGCTCTTCCACCATCGTTTCGTTTAATAGAATGCGTTTATCTTTGTCGCCATTATAATGTTCTCTTATTTAATAGACTTTTTGATATCTCGGCTACATGTAAACAACTGAATATATAATGTCCATATTCTAAATATAAACTAATCGTAATACGTGCGTTAATGATTAATAGATGTACATTACTATAATAATCATACCACCAGCCATGATATTTGTATCGCCATGTAGTGAACTCCATTCTAGAATGCGATTCCTCCTAGGGTGTATGTGGTGTTACAAACGATTAATGTTTTATATAACATTGACATTATACAATTCAATACACCTTTTCGATAATTACGTCACAAGTATTTCCTTTGTCTGGGAGCCTCGCTTCATGAATCAAGAAGAAACACAATTCGCTCACGATTCATGAAAACGAGGCTCCTGGGCCAAGGAGAAACTTGTGACGTAATTATTGAAAGGGTGTAGTGTAGAGTCTTGTGGTATGGTTTGTATGGTTGAACATGCAACTTCTGTTGTGATGCTCACAGGCAGGGTAAACAGCTTGTAAAGGTACGATTGTAAGAATTATCACATGTAATAAAGTAAATTGTTACATTCATAACCTTTGGGCTCCGATGGTCAGTAATCAAAGCACGGAATGAGTCAAACAAATAACAATAGTGTATAAACTGTCTAATAAACACGTTTAAATATATGCGTCAGTATGCAAATCTATCACACCTTGGCTAAAATATTACCATGCAGTAAAACAATTATAATGCAGTTACACTTATATTCATACTTGCGTTTAATATTACCCGTAAATCATTGGCCATGCACTAGAGTGTTTTGTACACATTTTTGTCTATTTTGGAAATGTACTTGACCAGACGACTATGTATTTGTATTAAATATGAAAGAGGATATCAAAGTCGGCAGAGCATTAGGCTAGTATTCCAAAGGTCATAGGTTCGATTCCCACCGTGGCCGGGCATATTTTTCAAGCTCGACGGTGTGGATATACACTCAGAGTAACATCACAAACATATCATATTCACCAGCACAACACCAGCACATTCACAACACCAGCACAGAAAAAAATATCAACATACCCCAGTGCGTCCAAGTTATGAACTGTAACTAAGTAGTGTCTGCCATCCTACGTCTGAAATTTTTATTCTGACTTTCAGAAGAAGCATAGTCCAATCTGGCATTTTAATAGATTTAAGCAGAATTGACTGGCTTTGTTCCGAAAGAGTCGTGTCTAATGCCTCGAGTCTTGAAAATATCACATCGGTTGCCCCAAAATCACAACATCAGAATATTATATACCCGGCGACCGCCTTCTGATGCCGATAATTTCGTTGATGTTCTCCTCGGGGTTCTCCTGATAGGCACACGCAACAACATTCAGGGATTTCAGATGAATTGCTCGCCATTCGTTTTAATGCGACGCGTCCTTTCTTGTGGTGATATTTCCTTTGATTCAATGAGAGCGCTAGTTGACGCGTGCGGCGATGTAATTTTGGCGCGCACGGAGAGAAAAACAATCTCCTGTTCTTGTCTTTCCATTCGAACACGCTTTGGACTTGGCTCTAGGTTCGCGTTTCCTGCAGGGTCTGAGCCGTCTTCATCTATATTATGGCTGTTTGCTGTCGTGGTCTTTAAGATCAGCGATATTTAATACCTTTTCTACGTCGCTAGAGAACAATCGGAAGGTTGCGCTTCCTTCGTGCTTTCTACCAGATTTCGGATGGCCAAAGAGCAAGTGATTGTACGCGTTAATTCTTGCTATAGTCAAACCAATGCGAATATACTGGAAAGTACATTTCGCACATTGATCTCAGCACACAGCGGTTTTTGTTCGAAATTGGCGCGTGTTTGCATTTATAACTCCCAACTACGGCGTTGACAAATGTGTTAAGCCATTACGAATTATTAAATTATTACTAAATCGGATGTAGCTTATCAATATTTAAACCAAGAATAAAACGGACTATTAAATTACACTAGTATGATATAATTGCGTGAGTTAATTTAATTTGTATATGTCAACCCTCAAACGCCTGCCTTACAAACGCCATGGGAACGAACACATTTTGCCTTAATTTTTTCACACATCGTGCGGGTCCTCATAATATATCATATAGCAATATAATATGTTGTTCTTTCTTTCTTTCTTAAATTAAGAAACCTACACGCAATATATCAATATAATATGTTGTTGCTTCCTTCTCAAGAGATCAACTGCATCCAATGGAAAAATAATATGCAAGTCAATAGACATTTCTTATATCAATAATATAGGCCTAACAATATGTTGTTGCTGCGTTCTTAAGAACTCACGCAATATATCAACGTAATTTTGCTTCTTTGTCAACAGACCACGCGTACATAACACGGGAACGGGAAGATCCTTATATGAATAAATAAATATAATATGTTGTTGCTTCGTTCTTAAGAACTCACGCAATATATCATATAGCAATATAATATATGTTGTTCTTTCTTTCTTTCTTAAATTAAGAAACCTACACGCAATATATCAATATTATATGTTGTTGCTTCCTTCTCAAGAGATCAACTGCATCCAATGGAAAAATAATATGCAAGTCAATAGACATTTCTTATATCAATAATATAACACTATGTTGTTGCTTCGTTCTTAAGAACTCACGCAATATATCAACTTAATTTTGCTTCGTTCTCAAGGGACCATGCACGCGTACATAACACGGGAACGGGAAGATCCTTATATGAATAAATAAATATAATATGTTGTTGCTTCGTTCTTAAGAACTAACGCAATATATCATATAGCAATATAATATGCAAGTCAACAGTAGACATTTCTTATATCAATAATATAACAATATGTTGTTGCTTCGTTCTTAAGAACTCACGCAATATATAAACGTAATTTTGTTTCTTTGTCAAGAGACCACGTGTACATAACACGGGAACGGGAAGATCCTTATATGAATAAATAAATATAATATGTTGTTGCTTCGTTCTTAAGAACTCACGCAATATATCATATAGCAATATAATATGTTGTTGTTTGTTTCTTAAATTAAGAAACCTACACGCAATATATCAATATAATATGTTCTTGCTTCGTTCTCAAGAGACCAGGTGTATAACACGGGAAATTAGGAAAGATCCTTATATCAATATGATATAATACGTTGTTGCTTCGTTCTTAAGAAATCACGCAATATATCAATAGTTATAAGACAATATAATATATTGTTGGTTAGTTCAGTTAAGAAACTGATCACGCAATATAGCAAAACATAATATGCTATATATATATATATATATATATATATATATATATATATATATATATATATATATATATATATATATATATATATATAAATTAAGGTAAAACAATCAACAAAATCCACTAGGCATCTTTATTACTAAATAGTTTCGTACCACAAAATGTGGCACTCTTCAGATAAATTGACCTAATGACTACAGATTAAAAGTTACAAGGTTATATATGTATACAAGTGGATGAGACTTTAAAAAACTTAATCCTATTTACAAACCACGCGATTTAATTAACATGTTATGTGATAAGCTGACAGGACGCAGAAAGATTAACACACCGCGGTATATTTAAATGTCTAGCTTTTTAAATGTTATCAACCGTAATACAGTCAAGATTAGCTACAGCTGTATGCCAAACATCAAGCAGACTATCGATGGACACAACAAATCTACGTTGGCTACAATTTCCAGCACTAGTGGTCTTAACATGTGTAGTTGCCCTAAAAGCAATAAAGAACTGTGCCCACTATCTAACAAATGTACCACCGAATCGGTTGTATATCAAGCCACAGTCACTACTAAGGACAAAACAACAAATAGACCTCCCCAAACATATGTCGGACTTACAGAAAATTCGTTTAAAACTAGACTTGCAAACCATAAAGCATCATTCAACTCTTTCGACAAACGGAACGCTACCGAACTAAGCAAATACGTGTGGGAATTGAAAAACAAAAACATCAATTATACAATCAAATGGAAACTATTGAAACAAGCTAAGCCTTATAACTGTGCTTCAAATCGGTGTAATTTATGTTTATGGGAGAAATACTTTATTATTTGTAAGCCAAAAATGGCCACTTTAAACAAACGAAATGAGTTAGTGTCTGCATGTAGGCATAATAAAAAATTCCTTTTAAGTAACATTTAAAAAGCTAGACATTTAAATATACCGCGGTGTGTTAATCTTTCCGCGTCCTGTCAGCTTATCACATAACATGTTAATTAAATTGCGTGGTTTGTAAATAGGATTAAGTTTTTAAAGTCTCATTCACTTGTATACATATATAACCTTGTAAGTTTTAGTCTATAGTCATTAGGTCAATTTATCTGAAGAGTGCCACATTTTGTGGTACGAAACTATTTAGTAATAAAGATGCCTAGTGGATTTTGTTGATTGTTGTACCTTAATTTAAATATGCTCTGGTTTTCCATTGAGCACTTTACCAAAAGTTTTTATAACCAACGAAACCAAATCTTATATATATATATATATATATATATATATATATATATATATATATATATATATATATATATATATATATATATATATATATATATATATAGCTTAAGATTTTGGTTTACGAAACACAAACAGTGCTCAATACCATATAGATAGAGCGTAATATAGTTTTCGTTTTACCT